CTCACTCTGACCCTCCCCTGCTCACACTGTCTCTCTCTCTCTCTCTCTCTCTCTCTCTCTCAAAAACAAATAAAACATTAAAAAAAATTTTTTAAATAAATAAAACATAAAAAATTAAAAAAAAAATCTTCCTTATGTCTTATGGTTCCAGTACTGTACAGGTAAAAAGGTACAATGTTATAGCTAAAATGCGCTATGAAATAGGTTTATGAAACTAGGTTTATGAACACAAATAGGACCTTCCTAGATTATATAAATGAGGATACATCTACGTATCTTACTTACATAAGATGAACTTTTTCATTCACTTAAATACTTGTGTGCAACTAATATGTAAGAACAGCATGGTACTGTAGAAGCAACTGAACAGAGGCAAGGTCTATTTTTATACCTTAAGCCCATTATCTACCTTAGTTGCTGGATCTGTTCCCAGAACCGTGAGCCAGCACCAGCAACATGAACTGAGGCGTTCCAGCTCCTGGTACTCGCCGCTTGGGAGTGATTCCACTACCAGGGCTGCCCCCAACCCTTGCCTATCAGCTTCCTCAGGTTATAACCTCCCCCAGGGCCACGCCCCACAGGAAGCTAAGCCTCGCCACCCGACCAACACCTATGGGCCTCAAGGGGCAGGGGTCTCCAGATAGCCTCCCCGCTGGAAGGTGGAATTCCAGGAGAACCAAGGGCCAATCAGCCTCCTTAGACTCTCAAGATCATCCAGTCTTCTTTCTTACTTTCCTTAGTCACAGCCAGAAATCTCTCCGTCTTCTCTCGTGTTTTGTTCCCTTAGCACTCCCTGCTTCCTCCCCTTCCTCCCAAGCCCTCTCTCATTACACCACTCTGGACTCTCACTCACCAACTCACTTTGTCTAACTCGATGCTGCTCATTCTTAGGAACTCAATGCAAACATTGCTTTCTTTAAGACATGAATTCTCTGACCCTTCAAACTAGGTAAGATCTTATCTATTTGGTGAGGTACCAGGATTTTGGTATTATTACTATCACAATTGCTATAATTATTATTCACATTCTTAATACCATTAATAACAAACCCTTTAAACTAGGTAAGACCTTCCCCTATGACCCAGCAATAGCACTGCTAGGAATGTATTCAAGGGATACAGGAGTGCTGATGCATAGGGACACATGGACCCCAATGTTCATAGCAGCACTCTCAACAATAGCCAAATCATGGAAAGAGCCTAAGTGTCCATCAATGAACGAATGGATCAAGAAGATGTGGTTTATCTATACCATGGAATACTACATGGCAATGAGAAAGAATGAAATCTGGCCATGTGTAGCAACATGGATGGAACTCGAGGGTGTTATGCTGAGCGAAACAAGTCAGGCAGAGAAAGGCAGATACCATATGTTGTCACTTATAAGTGGAACAGGAGAAACTTAACAGAGGACCATGGGGAAGGAGAGGGGCTAAAAATAGTTGGGGAAAGGGAGGGAGAGACTCTTGAATACTGAGAACAAACTGAGGGCTGATGGGGGAGGGCACTTGTGGGGATGAGCACTGGGTGTTATATGGAAACCAACTTGACAATAAACTATGAAAGTAAACTAGGTAAGACCTTACCTATTTGATGCCTTCTACTTCACATCACTTACCACAATTTAACCTTACTTGTTTCTTTTATCATCTAGATTGTAAACCCCACAAGAGCAGGAATTATGATTGCTTTACACTGTTCTGTCAAGCAGAGTGTAACATAGTAGCTGGCACACAACAAATTCAATAAACATTTGTGGAATAGAAGAAAGAGGAAAGAAGTAAGCAGTGAGAAGAAATATGTTGCCAAGTTAGATCACTGACTATACTTTCCAAGAGAAACATCATGGTCACTGACCACATGATGTTGGCCTTCCCTCAACTAGAGCAGAGGTTATGTGACTCTTTGTGGGCTAGCTGGCCTGATTCCAACCACCTTAGGTCTTGTTTTCTGCAAAGGAGTGCTGTGAGTTCCAAACACACAGTTGATAAATAAATTTGTAAGTTGGGTCTTTCCATTCTGTGGGCTAGAACATTAATTCTCCAGACTGGTCTAGTGCTTTAGAGTATCTGAAGCCCTCTTATCTCCGTTGTCCAAACTGACACTCATGACAATCCTCTGCAGTCACTGACCTAACTCAAAGTGTGTTTACTTAGCATACACATTCTAAGTCTTGTACTAGGTGATGGGAGCCAAAGGAAAGAAGCCATGATTTCTCTTCCCAGTAGCTCCCATTCTAGATACACGGGAAGGATTCTTAACTCCAGTTTGCACATGACACTAAACGATCTGCTGAGGTCATGCAGCCGTGAGTAACGGGACTTGCCTACTGCTGTGAGATGCCTCCCAGTGACACACTTTGCATACTACACTATATAGATGAGGCACAATGGAGAGTTAAGAGCAGTCCTAGATTTAAAAGAAATCTTAAAAACATCCTATCCATCCGTGTATGTTCTATGACAAGCTTAGACTAGAACACCGATTTTACTTGAGACAGATGATGACAGGCAGAGAAGGGCATGTAGGGAGAACTTAGGCATGTTGTCAAATGCTTATATTGAAGCCCTGGATGATAAGGCCTGTGTGGAGAATCCTCCTGGTGCCAAGTTAAGGAAGCCCACTTTCCCTGCTTTTCTCAGGCTTTCGAGGATTTGAGGAGCTGGAGCTATACACGAAACCACTGAAAAGTCCGTGAGGCTGGTTTCTCAGTTCTAAGCTGTAGGGCTGAGCTCCATAGTGGGGCACAGCTACTCAAACAGCTCCTGCTTTTCTCTGGCCAGCTGCCCAAGCTAGATGATACAATCCTTTACTTGAAGGTTCCTACGTTATAAAACTGCACCGAGGGCCCTCGAGTGACCTGGGTGGTGTGTGGAGAGGCCAGGGAAGGCAGGGAGCTATCCAGAGCTGACCAGGAGGGCAAATCTGCTGAGGAGGAGTCACAGCACCCTGTGACTCTAAGTCTTCTGTTTCAGGCTCACAGCTGCCCAAGTGACTTGGGAGACCAGCCCTTCCCAGATCCTGCAGAACAGTTTCTCTAAGGTCTCAGATCTGGAGCAAGGGCACAGAGGGAATGAGCTGTGAATGGAAAAGTAGTGGGCGGAGAGAGGTAGAGGGAAGAAGACAGCTGGATGAGCTCGGGGCCTGGAAAGTGGTTGATGTTAGGGGGCGCCTGGGTGTCTCAGTCAGTTGAGCGTCCGACTTTGGCTCAGGTCATGATCTCATGGTTCGTGGGTTCGAGCTCCGCATCGGGCTCAGTGCTGACAGCTCAGAGCCTGGAGCCTGTTTCAGATTCTGTGTGTGTCTCTCTCTCTCTCTCTCTGCCCCTCCCCGACTTGTACTCTATCTCTCTTAAACACACACACACACACACACACACACACAAACAGAAGGTGGCTGATGTTAGAAACTTGTCGCTCAGCATTATCAGCTTTCTTCAATATTGGCTTGATATTGGATTAAAAATGTATACGGGCCTCTGGGCTTAATGCCTCACTATTTAAGCAACTAGCCAGCTATGTGGCTTGATGAAGGTTACTTCTTGACTCTTAATTTCCTCATCTATGAGAAAAATATCACAATATTTATCTTGGATGATTTATATGAGAATTAAGCAAGACTCCTTATTTATTCTTCCCATAAATACTTCTTGAACGCTCACTATCTGCCAGAGATGTCCCCAGGCACAAATGATTAACAAGGAACAAAACAGGGGCACCTGGGTGGCTCAGTCAGTTAAGCATCTGACTTCGGTTCAGGTCATGATCTCTCAGTCTGAGTTCGAGCCCCACATGGGGCTCTAGGCTGACAGTTCAGAGCTTAGAGCCTGCTTCAGATTCTGTGTTTCCCTGTCTCTCTGCTCCTCCCCACTCACAATCTGTCTTTCTCTCAGAAACAAACATTAAAAAAAAATTTTAAGAAATGAACAAAACAGGCAAAAACCCCTAAAATCGCTGTCTTCATGGAACTTAGTCTATTTCAACCTAGGACAATCTATAGATAAGAAGTATTTATTATGTATTAAGTATTTATGATGGTGTCCCAGAGGTTGATAAAAGTTCTGGAGGAAAATAAAACAGAGGAAGAACAGGCTGCAATTTTAAATAGTTAATATCAAGAAAGGCGTTGGTAGAAGGGTGACATGTGAACAAGGGTCTGAAGGAGGAAAGACAATGTATGCAGTAGCACCCGCACAATGCCCGCCACAGGACAAGCACCAGGATCTTCATGTTAGTACTATCACCACAACTGCTCTATTAATCATACTCTTATTAATACTATTATGACAATAACTGCATCGACTGAGATTTGTTGAACATATTATATTTCCAAGGTCTGAGTTACAGAACAAACTCCAGCACAATGACTTTTCCAATCCTTAATTGGTTTTTAAATTTTATTTTATTAAAAAAATTTTTTTAACATCTATTCATTTTTGAGAGAGACACAGTATGTGTACAGGGGAGACACAGGGAGAGAGGGAGACACAGAATCTGAAACAGGCTCTAGGCTCTGAGCTGTCAGCACAGAGCCCGATGTGGGGCTCGAACCCATGAACCATGAGACCATGACCCGAGCTGAAGTTGGACGCTTAACCGACTAAACCACGCAGGCACCCCTGTTTTTAAATTTTAAAAGGCAGTAAACAAAATTATTTGCTGTAGATAACTGATTGTATATTTTTCCTCAATTTCCACTAAGTCCTTTTTCAGAAGTTTTCAAAACTAAAATAAAAAGATAATTTGAGGTGTTATAAAACTAGTTCAAGAAATTCCAAGTTATATCAGAAATCACTGTGTGTGACCTAGGACACATCCCTTCATCTTTCTGGATTTGTATTTTGCACTTTATTTTAGGATTGTAAAATAAAGTAAGTAGATGGTTATCTAAGATATCTTCTTAAAAATTATTTTTTTGTAATAATAATAAATAATAAATAAATAAATAAATAATAAACAATAATAAACAATATATTATTAAGACTAATATTAATTACTTACTCAATGGAGACAATGACAGCATTCAATTCTTCAGCCATTGCAGTACACAGTTCATCATAATACCTGATTTCTAAAAGAGACAAAGGAATAATCACTATTAAACAAGTTATTTAACACTATCAATTCCTAAATTCTGCTAATTGTGGACTGCTCTTAGACTTGGACTTAACTTATTAATAATAAAAAGCGAAGCTGAACATACATATCATGAATAGGGTTACATATACAAATACAAAAATTAAATCTGGTTTCAGATAAAATGCAATTAGTATAAAAAAAAACAGGAAATCCATATTGGATTACCTCTGAATGCGTTTTTAACTAAGTAGACATCGATTTTGTAATAGGCTATATGAAATGCACCAAATTAATTCTGATTTTGTAGCTCTTCAAACATACATGTTTTGAAAAAACACAGCAGATAAACAGTTACCTCCTTAGAACTATGAAATTTTTAGGTTTTAATACCTTTATTTGCTGCATTTCAATTGAATTCTTCCAATTTGAAGGACAGGTTATTTTGTTAAACCAACAAATAAAAGCTAGAATTTTAGGAAGTCTTAGCATTTCTTAAAAAGAGGATCCAAAGGTTTGCAGTGACAAACAATTAATACCTAAAAATTGAATCCCTTAGCTCTTCTTTCAATAAATTAAGAGATGAATTGTCTACAGAAAGCCAAATGTTACTTTATGCATAGGTTTTCCAAGCCAGTCTTAGAACCAGAAGTTTAGTGACTACATAACCACCTGAAGAGTGCCCACAGCCTGAGCTCTTCCTCTGCCAGGAGTGATCAGTCAAAATTATATAGAAAAGGCCATGGGGACACTTCCTGGTCTCCAGTGGAATGTCTCACTGGGCAAGTGTCCAATACTGTAGGGATCGCAAGCATTTCTGCTACTCATTTTTGTGTTCTCATCCCCTGGCCATGTTAGGGTAACCAAACGTATAGGATTGTACATATTGTTTTGAGTTTCTGTCCTGTAAGTCCTGTACCCCCAGAAAACCCCTCGGTCCTGGGCAAACCTACATACTCAGTAAACATGCGTTGAAAACTTGAGCAAATCCATTAATCAAAGAATCCATAATGAATATGAAATGGGATTACTAGAAAAAGTTATACTTGTTTGGCCTTTGCCATATAAAAAAAGTGTTCTATAAAAACACAAACTAGAACAAGTTGTCATTGCCTTAAAACTAGGGGATGCTAAAAGCTTTGGGCTAAAGACGCCGTAGTAGCTCCATAATTACAGGTAGAGATAAGGCCCTTACTTCCTCCTTGGTATTCTGTCTGTAAGGCTGCTCCACTTGGCTGCCTGCCATTTTGAATGTGTTCTGCTCATGAAAGTTATCCAACACCAAAAAGGATATTCTTGCATTTTGCAACATTATTTCCATTTAATGGTGGTATACCTGTTATGCTTTCATCTGTGGTTTCATAAGCAAATGAAAGGGGGGTTAGTTAATGTACGCATTCAGAAACCCTTGTCCTTTTCACAGAAAAATGTCTTCAAACACAAGTTGGCAAAAGAGCCACAGATAATTTCCTCATATCCGGCCCAGTTGAAACGTCAACTTGTTTTGGTGCAGGAAGCTATTATTGCCAGCCCTTCACCTAAGTTAGCCTGTGATTTAGGTCACAGGAAATATTTTCAAAACAGTCTGCCTAAGCAATAAACAAATGGACAAAACCTTTATGTATGTAGGGTAATCAGAGAATTAATCACCCAAACCAGGACCCTTTTAGGTGTGAACATCTGACACTATTAATAATCCTGCTGGGATTATAGAGGGAGCCGAGACTGTTCAGGGGAACCAAGTCAAATGGCCCCTACCCAATACGGAAGTCAAACTCAATCACACATCCCTCCCGGGGCCAACCACCAACCCAAACAACCCAAAGGTGACTGGGACATACTTGCACTGGCCAAAGCCCAGCCTCCTCCATGGATGTAAACAACGCTGCGTTTCAAAGGCTCTTCTGGCTTTGGGGAGCCCTCAAACACTCTGACCTCCACACCGTCAAAGTCAGTGTCGGTCACCTTCACCTGAGGAGACGACCATGCGCTTTTCTTGCCAAAAGAAACGATGATAAAATTCAGTGCGAGCAGGTGATGGCTCAGGCCCAGGTAGTGGATCAGGCTGCTCTGCAGAGCAAGGGAGAGAACACAGAGGGAGCGCATGGTCAACTCTGTCATCACCGGAGCCACACTCACCAACTCGTGGTGTCTGAACTCTGAAAGGTAACAGCCAGTACTCTGGAGGACTCAATGGCCACTTTTAACACAATAACAAATTATATTTACTTTTTGCTTTTAGGGTCTGCAAAGCATTTTCATATGTGAGATCTGATTTTTCAGATCAGCTTGGAGAAGGAAATTGGACAGGTATCATCAGTCCTGTTTTACCAAGAAGGCTTAGAAATTAAACAGGACCATTTGGCTGGATAAGTGGTAGCTCTAGTACTTAACACTAAGATTTGTGAACGTTAGGATTCAGTCCTTTTTCTCTTGCTCTCAAGCAGCACATCACACATTCAATAACATACTAGGAATTGAGGAAGAATATTAAATGCAAATAAAAGAGAGAAGTTTTATACTTACTATAAGTATCTTAAAAGTGTTTCATAGCTTATATACTTAAGTGCGTCTGTTGCTTTAAGAGTAGAAGAAATGAGTGTGTGAGAGGCAAAGAGCAGAGTTAACTCTGGCTCTGGCACTGAGAAGCAGGACACTATAGACATGACCAAGACCTTTTCAGAAATGTGCAAAGAATATACAGTCTGCCATCACTTTTCCTTTGAACCTGAGGGCACTGAGCTCTGCATTAAACATTTGCAGGAAGCTATTTGGTTGGTGAAGGAGCAAAGAGAGAAGAGACCTACGCAATCCACCAGCAAAGATCCTACAGAGTATATTCTCCTCTTTCCACTTTAAAAAAAAATGTTGATTTATTTATGTTGAGAGAGACAGAGAGAGTGTGAGCAGGGGAGGGGCAGGGGAGAGGGAGAGAGAGAGAATCCCAAGCAGGCTCCATGTCCAGCCTGAGCCCAATGTGGGCCTTGATCCCATGACTGTGGTGGGATCATAACCTGAGCCAAAATCAAGAGTCAGACACTCAACTGACTGAGCACCCAGGCATCCCCCCAACCTTTCCACCTCTTATACAAGGTCTTCCTACCAAGCATGCTTATAAAACTGACCTTGTGGCAAGACTTAATGGCTACCTTTCAAAGCCAGAGAATTGGAAGCCATGTGGCAGCCAGTGACTACTCCACCTAGAGAGGTCCAGGAGTGTCAAAAAGTGGCTGGAAACTTTCCTGGCACTGGTTTATGAATTTAGATACTGTATCTCCTAGTGGCTCTCTACCCTAGGAAAGGAGGACAGCTAGAGAGTAACAGTGCCCTTCTGGAAAATATGAAACACAATACTGATGATTAGTGAAACATTTCATGCCATCAAAATATCAAGGAAACAATGTTACTAGTAACAGAAATGAGGACTATGTAAAGTCTGTGATGCACCATAATACAGCTTCCCAGCCTGGGCATGCACCACACTGGTGTGCCTTGAAGAGAGTACAGACTTGCTAGAATACTGATCCCCTCAGATCCTGGCGAGCCATGCTCCTGAGCCATGCTCCATTACCCCAATGTCGCATATAAAGTATTATTATTGTGTACATGTGCCTCGCCATGAGAACACTGCATTATAACACCATTAGCCAAGGTTTATGAAAAATAAGAACAAGAGGCCATTAATCTAACCATGTAGAGCTATTCCAGTGATTTCATTAATATTTGTTTGCTGGCAATATAGGCAGCAGAGCAAATAATATTAATAAAATAATTTAACTTCTATATGTATCAGTTGTCCAATTTACTGAAAAAGTTAAAACTGATAATGTTCTTTTTTTAAAAGCATATTTATTTTGAGAGAGAACACGCATGTGCGAGTGGAAAAGGGGCAGAGAGAGAGAGAGAGAGAGAGAGAGAGAGAGAGAGAATCCCAAGCAGGTGCTATGGTGTCAGAGTAGAGCTCTATGCAGGAAGCAATCCCACAAACTGTGAGAGTATGACCTTAACCAAAATCAAGAGTAGGATGCTTAACTGAGTAGCTTGACTGAGCTACTCAGGTGCCCCCCTACTGATAATGTTCTTGCTATGAAATAAATGTGTGTGATATGAAACAAATTCACACGCACATGGGGTGCCTGGGTGGCTCAGTAGATTAAGCATCCAACTTTGGCTCAGGTCAGGATCTCGTAGTTCATGAGTTTGGGCCCTGTGCCCAGCTCTGTGCTGGAAGCTCAGGGCCTGGAGCCTGCTTCAGATTCTGTGTCTCGGATTCCCTCTCTGCCCCTCCCCCACTCACACTTTGTCTCTCTCTCTCTCTCTTTCAAAAGCAACATTAAAAAATTTTTTTAATTTAAATAAAAAAATTCACATGCACAGAATTCTAACAATTAATTTAAGGTGTTTGGCAAATCGGGAAAGGTAATCATCATTTGAGTTTTGTGGTAAAATGTCAGTCTTGCTGGGGGAATACTGATTTCTGCCAGGTAACCAAGAATCACTGCATTCACTAAGATTCTAGAATTCACACAATAAGCCCCTGTCAATATCATTATCAATTAATAGAGAACACACAGGATCCATCCCATTTCTTGCAGGACAAGTAGCTTGACAGGCATGAAATAAGGAAATATGAACAAACCAATGGCAGGCTTGGCTCTGTTACTTTCTGGACTACTTTAAGTTAAATGAAGACTATTGAGTATTTAAGACAAATTATATATGAGTTTCTTCAGTTATAGGAAAGCTGTAAAAGAGGTGAATTGTCTGTCTAAGACAGATTAGAGAAGATTGCTCATTTTACAGGGTACCCAACTCGGGTTTCCTTTATGCACTGCATGCTCTGAACGCACGCAGTCCTGACTCAATTTGCCCATGCTTTTCCAAAAGTACCTCTACCATGTTAGATCACCCCTATGAACAGAATTTCTCAACAACTATCTGCATTGTTCAACGTACTGTCAGGGTGGCAGGGGGGTGGGGCAGGAGAGTTGATTCAAGAAGGGGTAGTTTATAAGGAGAAAAACAGATAAGCAGATGGGAGTGAGAAAGGGTCAGAGACGTGCTAAAATAAAATTAAATTAAAAATAAAATAAATAAAGTTTTATTGCATCCTTGAGTTTGTGCAGTGAGATTCAGATCCATCCCCAAAAACATGCTCAAAATAACAAAGTTTTCTGAAACCTCTTTGGAAGTAGCTGGAAAATTCCAGTAGCACAAAGAAAGAGGCCAAGTGTTAACAGCCCCACAGGTTGAGAATTGGCCAATTCCTGGTGAGCTGAAGTCCTTTAGGACAGTGCTACAGATCTTAGAACTTGCCCCCATATCTATTGTAGGATTTAGGAGAGAAATTCTCCCTGAGGAGAAAGGCTTAAGGGTCATTACTCATTACACCTCAGTGGAACCAGACACAATCAAATACGTGGGCCACTGGCTCACACCCCCTCCCCCCCGCACCCCCCTTACTAGGTATGATGGCCAAAGATCAAAGGACAAGCAAGAATCAAAGGAAGCCCGGCATCTGGGTGGCTCAGTCGTTAAGCATCTGACTTTGGCTCAGGTCATAATCTCAGGGTTTGTGAGTTCAGTCCCACATCTGGCGAAGAGCACCCCCCCACTTCAGGTGAGCCCTGCTTCTCTCTCACTTTCTCCCTCTCTCTTTCTCTGCCCCTCCTGGGATTCTCTCTCTCTGTCCCTAGCTCACTTGAACTCTCTCTCAAAAAATAAATAATAATAATAATCAAAGGAAGCCAAGCAGAACTGTACTCTGTTTCTCAATATACAAGTTAGTTATATTTGTGAACGGGGTTGTTCTGTGTTAAGTCAGTCAACATGTAAATTATGAAATATATCCTAAGGGCAGGGAAGCTTCAGGGGGAGACACAACCTTCTGGAGCTTGGAGAAATAGAAGAGAACCAGGACTTATAAATGAATAGCTGATGTTAACTAAGCAATACAAGTAGTAAGAGAAATCTAGGTACGGAATTACTTCTGTTTGTTCTTCCTGGGATGAAACCCTGTAAGGCTTCTAGCCTAAACTGTGGCTTCATGGAAGCTGAAGCACGGGTAGCAAAGAAAAGGGTAGGAAACCAAGATGTAAAAGTATTGGGCAAGTGCTATAATTCAGATACATATAGGAAGTCAGGTAAATAAGGGAAGCGAAGGCAGAGGGAGCATGGAAATAAAAGGCTATAAATCTAAGAGGCATTGAGAGCAGGCACCAAAGTCAACAGCACAGACTCCAGACATAGAGTGCCTGGGTGCAAAGCCCAGCTTTTCCACTTACCAGTGGTAGGATCTTGGGCATGTTACTAAACTTCTCTGTGTCTTGATTTCTCATCTAAAGACAGACATAGTGGGGGAGAGGGGAAGGGGGGTGATGGGCATGGAGGAGGGCACTTGTTGGGATGAGCACTGGGTGTTATATGGAAACCAACTTGACAAGAAACTATGAAAGAAAAAAAAGACAGAAATAATAGTACTAACCACTTCAAAAGACTGTTGTGAAGCTTAAAAAAGGCACAAACACCTAGAGTAGCACCACATACTAAGCTTTATATGGGTTAATTGTTGTTATTATACCCCTAATTCAGCAGGTCACTACATGAAGAAATGTGAGCCTAGGGACAGGCCAGGGTTTCTAGGGAAGCTGAGACTATCATTCCTCCTATTATATACATTCGTTATGAGGACCACACTGATGACCAAGTTCTGAAATTATTATGGGTCTGTAAAATAATTATCTCTAAAAAGCTCATTTGTATGCTCATGTCACAGGGGAAGGGGAAGCTGGGGGAAAGCTTTCCAGTACACTGATACTACCAATGCATCAATAACTTAGCCTGGGTTTCAATTTCAAGATGAACCAACCACATTAAATACTTAAAACATCTATTGTAATTCACTACCTGCCTCATTTCCCATATTTGAAGGTTTAAATGCTAGGTCAGTCCTTCTCCAACTTTGCTAGTGATTGGCCATTTAATCCTGTCAAAGAGCTTTTAAGTTTTCCTATCCAGATTCTGTTCAGTTTCCTGCCTATTATAGGGGAAAAAAATTCATGGAATATCTG